CCGCCGCCTCAGCCTCCGCAGCCGCCCCAACCTCCTCCGCCATCGCCTCTGCCTCCGCCGCCGCCTCCGATCCGTCCACGGCCCCGGCCCCAGCCCCGGCCCCGGCCCCGACCCCAGCCTCGGCCCCAGCCCCGCCCGCGGCCCTGCAAACCTCGGCCCCGGCCCCCGAGGCCCAGCCGCAGGCATAATGCTGCCCAGCTCCATCCAGATATCGGGGGAGCCCCTGTCAGGCGCCGAGGTGCGGGACATCTGCCGCGGCCTGCGCGACAACGCCGTGCGCCTGCTCTCACTGCGCGGCTGCCGCCTCTGCGACCGCGACTTCGGCCGCATCTGCCGGGCCCTGGCCGGAGCCACGTCCCTGGCGCAGCTCAACCTTAACCTGGGCGTCGTGTCCAGCCCCAGCCGCATCAAGCAGCTGGCGGAGGCGCTGCGGACCAACCGCTCCATCCAGTCCCTCTTGTGAGTGCGCCCCCTCGCAAGGGGGCCCCAGACACTACCCCCCTCCACTCACTCTCCCTGACACCTTCGGTTTCTCCGTACGATGATTTCCATTTACCGTACCTGTCTGCCCACTCACTATACGTTCTCACCCCTTCTACACACGTCTACCTCATCCCTTTTCCCATGCCTCCTCTACACCCGGACTTTACACACGTGGGCCCCACCTCAAATGAGGTGGGATACCCACCCCTTCCAGGCAATGCACGTTGTAACCCCCAACCTAACCACTGCATTTACTTCGTGGAGGTAGCTCCACAGTGCCAAAAATAGGCCCTGGGAACAAGACCCCTTACCCTACATTCTGCCCACCAGAGGATCCCAGTCCACCACGCTGTCTGTCGTGCCCCGTGTTCTGTCCTGAATCTCAGTTCCTACTGGGGAAATGAGCCCAGAGTCCCCCCTTCTACTTGCATTCATTCCCTTGGAGTCCAGAATTTTCTTTCTTCTTCCCCAGAACTCTCCCAAATGCTGTGACTGAGTTACCTCCCTACCCCCCAGGGCTCAGAGAATGGAGGGGGATCCCTAGGGGAGGTGTCCCTTCCCTCTACAAATAGATTTGACTGTGATGACCTCTGCCCTCTCACCTCACCCCCTCCCAGCCTGCATGGGAGTCCCCTGACAGATGCTGGACTGGCCTTGCTGAATCCAGCCCTGGCCCTCCACCCTGCCCTCGTGGCTCTGGACCTGGGGGACTGTATGCTGGGTGATGAAGCCATCAACCTCATCTGTGGCCTCCTCCCCCCGGATGGGGCCAAGTCTGGTGAGCAGGGCCCTGCTGAGGGCATGGCTTATGTGGCCTTGAAGAAAAGCTAAGTGCAGAGGGAAGGGGGCATGGTCCAGGGCTGAGGACTCTGGTAGTATGGGTGAGAATGTCATTTAAATCTTCTCAGGAGGGGGAAGGATTGGGGTCTAAGCAGAGTGATCACTCTGGATTCCAGGCTGGTGGGGGACAGGGGAGACTTGGATCCTTAATGGCCCTGGAGCTCTATGGGTGGTGGGAGTGGGATAGCCCAGAAACATGGGGTGGGGGAAGGGCTTAAGGAGGGCCTAATCCTCTGCATCCTGGCTTCTCACTGCCAAGGCTTGAAGGAGCTGACGCTGAGTGCCAACCCTGGCATCACCCCTAAGGGCTGGAGCCGCCTCGCCATTGCTGTGGCCCATAGCTCCCAGGTTCGCGTCCTCAACCTGGACTACAACCCCCTGGGTGAGGCTCAAGAACCCTTTCTATCCCCCCCACCCCACCCTCTACCCAAGAAGCTGAGAACATTAGTTGCCATGGTAACCCCCTTGCTGAAGATGGGAAGAGGGGACTCAGGGATCAGGGAGGTGTTAAGAGAACACACCTGTGTGAAGAACCAGACGATTAACAGGTATATGCAAGCACCAATCACCATCCTCTCTTACCTACCACCCACCAATTGTCAGGTTTTCTTAGCCTAAGGGTGGGATCTAAGGTTGCTAGGGCAACAGAGAAACTGACTAGGAGGAAGGGTTAGCAGATCAGTGCTAGAGCACAGGTGAGTGTGTGCTGTTTCCCCAGGTGACCACGTGGCAGGGATGCTGGCTGTAGCTGTGGCGTCTAGCCGTACCCTAGAGGTCCTGGATTTGGAAGGCACAGGGCTCACCAACCAGTCAGCACAGGTGAGAAGTCATTGTGTCTGGGGACAGGCTAGCGGGTAGGGTGGAGGTTGGCCAGTATGTCTGTGGACATACCCTGTTGTTGTGTTGTTGCTATATGCCATCGAGTCGACTTGGCAGTATCACTACGGAAGTAGATTGCCCAACCTTCCTTCTGAGGAGTGGCTGGTGGGTTTGAACCGCCAGCCTTCTGGTTAGCAGTCAAGTGCCTTAGGCACTACGCTACCACAGCTCCCGTGGACATACCCTAAGGGGTGGCAAGTTGGGGTCTGAGGACCTGCCTTAACTGTGCCCATCCCTTTCCACACTCTTTCCTGCCCAGACTCTGCTGGACATGGTAGAAAACTACCCCACAGCTTTGAGGAGCTTGGTGTTGGCTGAGAACAGCATTAGCCCAGAGCTGCAACAGCAGATCTGTGACCTCCTCTCTGAGGGGGAGGAGGAGGAGGAGGTGGCAGCAGGGGCTGGCGACACCCCAGAGAGAGGAAGGGAGCCTGCTGCCCACCAGAGGGGCAGCAACTCCTGGATGTGCCCCAGTGGTAAGAGCCCAGAGGGTTAATCAGAGCCAGGCCTGGAAGAGGGTTGGTACCAGGGAGAGTGGGTGTGGGAAACCTAGGCCACCCCTCATCTGTTTGGTGGTTCCCAGTGGGAAAATAAATGGTGGCCTGAGAACCCCTCTGCCCCTCCACAGATACCAGCTCTCAGATGGTGCTAATGACGTCTGGACTAGGGGACAGTCTCTTGGCTGAGACAGAGATGTGACCCTCCACTTGGGCTCCAGCGCAACATTACATTTGCCCACGTTCCCAGCACCTAGCCCCAGATATCAGGGTCTGGTCCTGGGGCTTGGGAAGGGAACACAGGGGCGGTGCCTGGGGCTCTGGCAGCTCTGGCATTGTGGTGGGAGGCTCTGGAAGCTGGGACTGGGCAACAGCCTTGATGGACACTTGAACCCAAGGCAATGCTTCTGGACTTGTTAGCAGCTCTGGCTGCAGCCCGCTGGCTCAGAAGAGATTTAATGAACTCCACAACCTGGCGTGTGGCTGTGGTTACTGGGGACTGGCCCGAGGGGAGGAATCAGAACTACCACAAAGCACCACTAGGAGTCAGTGCCATCCAAGCTGCAAGGCAAATCTGAAAGGGCCCAAATCTTTCAAACAGGCCTGGTCCAGTCCTTAGAGCCCTAGGACTTCAGGTTCTCAAGTGACACCTTACACAGAGTCCACAGAGAGCATAACCAAGGTAAACAACACACCTCCACAGCTGGGCTGGACTCAACCTCCAAGGGGGCTCAGGGGCTCCGCCAGTGTTATTGGAGGTGTACCCTTGCCCACTGTCTGATGCTCTGTGCCCAGGGAAGCCCAAGGCAGGTGAGGAAAAGGGGAGTTACTATCAAAAACTAGGATAAGAGTCTCCTGCAAACCCTCAAGCATGAAGGAGAAGGCCATTAGTATATACATTAGACAATTCCAGTAAAATAGTTTATTTGATTTTAAAATAGTCATCAGTGTGAAATTTTCCCAAATCTGGGAGTAACAGTCTAGAGCCAAGGTTGGGAGGGAAGCCAGGCCTCACACACAGCCCAGCATGAGGCCCCAAACCCCACCTTCCACTCCCTTCCAGAGGGAGGAAGGAAACAGCTGAGGAGAGCCCTGAGTCAGCCTCTGCCTCACCCCCCTAGAATCAGCTATGGCAGGCCCCCTGAAGGCAACAGCTCCTGCAGAGAATCTGCGGGGAGAGGGAAGCAGGCAGAATACAGAAACTGGAGGTTAATAACCGCAACCCCCCCAACACACACACACACAGAACAAAAAACAAAACCTGTAGGATATGAGAGGAAGATAAACACTGGCATATTAAACCCTTAGCTCCCCAGAGCAGCCCAGTCTGGGCTGACTGGAGGGTAGTTCAAGAAGAAAAGGAAAAAACCATGAGGCAGGCTGCTGCTAGTCAGTGGATGAAGGTGAAAGGCTTAGTGTGGTCCAGGCCTGACCCCACCCTCAAAGGCCTGGAGGGGACAAGTGCGAGAGCCTGGGCTGGGGACCCTGAGCGGCAAGGATGCGGGGTGGTCTTGTGGTCCCAGTGCAGCAGTAGCAAGAAGGCAAGCAGGTGGCCTAATTGAGCAGGTTGCCCTGCTCTTGGGCCTGAGTCAGGCTGTCCTTGCGGTGTAGGTGGTGAACCCCCATCCTCTTAGGGCTGCGCTGGGGGCGGCTGGAGTTGGGGAGTGGCCAGGCCCTGCTTTCAGGGTAGGAACTGCCAGGCCCCTCCTCAGTGCCTCTGTCACTGGGCAGCAGGCTCTGGCGTTCCTCCTCGGGACTGATGGGCAGGTTCAGCTCTTCCTCCTCTTCCTCCCTGGGAAAGCCAGAATCAGTGTCTGTTGGCAGCAAAATGCCTTTTTCACCAGGTGGGGAAGAAGGTGCCTGAACCTCATCATCTCTGTCAGTGGGGTTAAGGTCAAAATGGTGCTGTAGCTCAGGGAGCACATCACGTCCAAAAGCAGTGCGCTGGGCCACGGTGGCAGGTGGAGGGGTGCGGTCCACAAATGCTCTCTGCCAGCTGGCCAGTAGGTCCTCCTCAGAGCTAGCTGAGCTGGCTGGGGCACTGAGTACCGGGTGGGCTGGGCTGGCCTGATGGTGGGGTGAGGCCTGGGCTGAGGCAGGGCTGCTAGGGACTGGGCTGGGGCGGGCCCGCTCATTCCCCTCCTCTACCAGGCTCAGGGAAATGGCCTGGCGGGTGGCGTAAGTACAGTTGGGCAGGGGGCTGTTGCGGGGGATCCGCACCTTATCCTCAGAGAATTCTATTACCTTACGGCCAGGATACAGTGGGTGGGGCAGGGATGGAGTGGGGTAGGGGCTCAACTTTTCAAAGGCCGGCCGCAGCTCCTCCTCTGGGAAGCCCCCAGCAGTGCCCAGGGGGCGGCACTCCCCATTGGGCTGGGGGACAAGGCTTTCAGGGACCGGCGGACTGGCTGGATCACCCAGGGCATCCCCACTCATGTCCACGTGCACAAAGACGTCTTCAGCCAAGGGATGGCCAGCACTGCCCGACTGGGCTGAGTTGAGCAGTAGAGACTCAGGCTTCTCCAACACACGGGCAATGACAGAAGTGGGCACCACAGCCCCTGGGGCCAGGCTAGAGGCAGGATTCAGGCTGGCAGCTTCTTGAGCACTGTGCAGATGTTTCCGAACCATATCCTGTAGCTCACAGGGCAGCTGGGGTAAAGGAGCAAGAGAAAGGTGGAGAAGCATGAATGATCCCAGACTAAAGACAGCTAGCTTGTGGCAAAAATACTGGTTACCATGTATAAGTACTAGCTTGTGCTTTGCACTATGCTGTCTCTTGTTCACAAGCATGCCATAGTGTATCTTCATCTCACAAATAAATGGAGGCTCGGTAGGGGTACAATAACTTGAAGGTTTTGAGTCGCACAGCCAGGTTCAAACCCAGATCTGCCTCTGTGGCCCATGTGCTCTCATCTCTCTCAACTTCAGCAGAGGCTTCTGCCCAAACGAGACCTAAGTTTAGATTATGTGGACTCACCAGCAGCTGTGGAAGCACCTCCCTCCTTCTGCATGCCCCACCAACCTGGGGCCTGTGCCTCCAGGGTCTAGAGGTCACCCCTTGGGATAAGGGGATCAGGTGGGCCCGATTTCTCTCAATGTCCTCTAGTTGACAGCTCTGGCCACCCCTCTTCCTGCATGGGATCCTGAAATTGAATTCCTCTCTCCCTTTGTTCTAAAAATACCAACAGGGTTGGCCCCTCAGCTCTAGTGATGGGCCCTAGATTGCACAGGAAACCAAACAGTGGCAGAGCTGTCTGTCTTGAGAAGACATGGAGGTGAGGGGAAGGCAAACTGGAAAAGGGAGAGTTAAAAGCAGGGGGAAGAAGGAGGAGGTGCAGAAACTAGAGCTAGAGGAGTCCTTAAACACGAACAGGTCTAGGAGGAGGGTGTTATACTCACATCAGCGAACTTGTGGTTTCGAAAGTGAGACTTGTTGCACTTGAGAAGCTGCACAGCCAGGTTGCAGTCCAGGCGGTACCGTTCCTGCAGATATAGACCTGGTTCAGAGATGCTGGCCTTGCCCAGGGAGAAGGGCTGGGCCAGGACAGCCCACCTCAGGTGAGGAAGGACCTGGCCTATGGACCCCAGAGCAGGTGGAGGGCACATACATTGAGCTCCTCCAGCTTGTTGATGGTGTTCTTGGCATCCAGCAGCTTGTTGGTCAGTTCCACAATCTCCCAGTCTAGTGTCTTCTTATCCATCTCAGCCTTCTTGATCTGACGCACAAAACTTATGGTAAAGCCAGCTCAGACACTAACCAATCCCCTTTTCCCTTTCCACCTCCTCCCAGCCCAGAGACATAGGAAGCCACAGGTGCCAGGGCAGCCAAGGCAGATAGGACAGACAGATAACAGACAGATAGAAGAGACCAGGGTCCTTTTCCTGCTCTCTAGGCTAGCTTGGGGCAGGGGCTTCCTGGGCATGACCTACTGTGGCCTAAGCAAGTATAGAGCTGCCTACCACTTGCCTAGGGACTCTAGGCACCAGGAAAGGCAACTGGTACCTCAGAGACATTAACTATGCAAACCCTGGGGCTGAAGCCTCTGTGTGTAGCTGTTTCCAGGATCAGGCAAAGAAGTGTGGGGAGTGGGGCTAGGAGGCAGCTGGGGCGCCTATGAGATTATCTACCTGAGCAGGGAGGAAGCTACAGCCTCGAAAAGTACCCTTGATCTTCAGCTCACTGATTGAATCCCTCTCTTCCCCCCAAAACTGGTGTGCGTCTGCTGCCATTGGCAGCTGAGATGCTCAGTGGTCAGTGGTAACACCCATAAGTGCCTGTGTTAGAGCCAAGAACAGGCTTCCCAGCTGTCTCCCAGGAGGGAGGCCTTGTCTCTACTGCATGAGCCTCAAACAGGAAGAAGAAAGGAGTGGATGCCCTTGAGCGGTAGGGTGAAACATCCGGGGCCCCAGCAATCCCAGGTTTCAGCTGAAAAGGTTTCAGGCTAAGGAAAACAGACAAACTCAGACGCAACTGCAAAAATCCAGCTGTGGCTAAGAGAGGCCTGAGAGTGCGGCAGCAACGGTGGCAGCATGAGGGGGAGACGAGGAGAGAAGAGAAACAGTGTGAGCATTAAGACAGTCCTGACATGCACAGCACACTGCAGTCCCCTTCCAATCACAGTCCATCCCAGCTCCCAACCTGCCCCAAGCCCCAGGGCAGACTGGCACTCCCCAGTGACAAGTCCTAGGCCCCCTGCTTTGCCATGAGGAAAGTGCCAGCCACACTGCAGTGCTGGGTAGGTTACCAGCGTGTGCAGCTTGTCCTCCAATTCTTGGTTGGTCCGCTGGGAAGCCGTGTAGCTGTTCTGCAGCCTGGAGAGGGTACAGGGCAGACCCCTTGGTCAAGATCTAATTCTTTAGGCCCAGCTCTGTTCCTCCTCACTGTGGGATCTTAGACACGTCATTCTCCTCAGAAATTCGGTTTCTCATGAGAATCTGATGATCTCAGAGACCTTTCCAGCTAACCTTCTAATGAATGGGGAAATGTACGCATGTGTGCCCTGGCAGTTCATCCCCATACCTACGGAACTTGTCCTTATATTTGTCCAGCTCCTCACGGCTCTGGCCCAGCTCCAGCTCCAGGCAATCCTGCCCAATTTCCAGTTCACGCTCCAGGGCCTCAGTGCGCCTGGTGGCTGAGGCCAGGCGCCGGCGGAGCTCTTCATTTTCCTGCTGCAAGAGCCTGGCAGGGTGGGGTGAGTCAAGGACAGAATGGGCATCAGAGATGGAGGGGCCAAGTCCTAGACTCAGACTAGGCTCAGGAAGGAAGGAAAAAGGATGAAAGGAGGATAGGCAATTGGGAGCAGGAGGGCTTCTTGAAACTAGGCCTGTGTTTGGGACAGCACATTCTATAGGCCTGCTGGCCCTGAGAAAACACGTTGGGCTGGAGGATGGGGGAAGACAGAGAGGACGGCAGGGGACAGCCTGACACACCCCTCCCTCATTGGATAAGAATGAGGAGGAAACAGAATTGACGGGAGTGCAGCTCCCATCTCAGTCTCTGGTTACAGCCCAAGCCAGCCAGCCACCAAGCCCCCAGCTCCAGTTTCCCCACTGCACAATCAGGCTTCTCCATTATTAATCCCCTGGAAATGCAGCCCAGCACTGCCCTGCTCTCCAGAGGCCTCATGGGGCTGACAGAAAGGGCCTCAGGGAGGCAGCTGTCACGGGGGGCCACTCTCTCCAGGGCCAGGAGCTGGGGCAAAGCTCTTTAGCAAGAGCGGGCCCCTCAGAGTGAACCACCTCCTGGCTGCAGGTTCTCTCAGAGCCCACAGGAACAAATCCTCTTTTCCAGAAGGAATATCCATAGCACCAAGCCTCTTCCCAAAGTCCCCAAAATACCCCACCCCAGCCTTTCTCTCTACTAATGCAAATAAAAGCCCAACAGTATCAACAGCCTGGCCTGGAGCTAAGAGAGGCAGAGTTGAGGTGAGCAGGGCAGTCTTGTGGGCAGCAGATACTCACTTCATCCTCTCTGCATCAGTCAGAGGCTCCTGGACAAAAAAAAAAAAAAAAAAAAAAAACTTGAGGCTCAGCTCTGGACCACTGGCCTCCTGGTTGACCCACCCTCCAAACAATCCTAGAAAGGGCCCTTTCTGAAGCCCAAAGACTCTCATAGCAGGGGTGGGCTGCAGAGCCCTCTAGAGATGGAAGAGGCAACCCACTAATGCCCAAACAAGATGAGACTATCCTCTCCCATGACAATGAGAAGACTCAAGAACCCCTTCCAACCCCACCCGTACATGAGCTCCAAGCCCTCTCTTAATCCTTAAGCCAGTTGTAAACAGGCCCCAGTAAACATGCTACCTCTCTCCAGCCCTGGGGATATAAGAAACTCAGTTTTTCACTGGGCTACTCCACACAGGCATAGCAGAGACCTTCCAGAGTGAAGAAATCAGGCCAAGCTATAGGATTCTGAACTCTAACAAAGCCCTCCCAGCCCCCTGGAGGAAGACAGGAGGAGCAGAATCAGGACCATACCGTGGCTCAGGAAGTATACTGCAAGGGTGGAGGGGAGCCTCTGGGCTAATCACGATTAAGACAAGGAAAGTATCTTATTTTACTCCAAATTTCCCACTCCATCCTCCCCAAGTTCCTATGTTGGTCACAGCTCAAAAATCAGAGCTCAGCCAACAGAAAAGCTGAGTTAGCATGTGTAATGATAAAAGGAAGCTATCAAAGAGCCCAATCCAAATAGAGCTGACTGCTTCAGAACTCAAGTCATGGGCAGGTACATGAGAGTGGGAAGCACAGACCAGACAATGGTTAAGATCACATACCCTGAGCCGCTGACACCTGGATTCAATCCTGTTCCACCATTTATTGGTTAATATACCCTTGAGCAAAGTCCTTAACCTTGTAAACCTTAGCTTGCTCATCTACAAAACCAGGAGAATGCCCACTGGGTAGCACACAGACCACTACCTGACATCTATCATGTTCCCTGAACTGAAACAGGGCAGTCACGGCATTTTGCCACCCTGAATCTGACCAAAGTGGGCCACAGTGCCCTTGATGCTCATCGTCTGCTGATGATCTCTCAAGTTCTTTAAATGTGTTTCAGTCACAGCAACAAGGTAGAAGTGTGTTGCTTGTAAATTTTCACCCAAATCACAATAAAAATTTAAAAAACAAATAAATAAATACAGGGTGGAAGTGTGACCACAAAGGGAATACTCCACTGCAATACTCATTTCCTCCCTTTGATAAATTTAATGAGGGAGGATAACCAACTTGGAGAATGTTGTGCAGTTGACTATAGGCTTCCTAAGAGCAGTTCCTGGCAGGGAGTACATATTTAACAAATGTTTACCAAACAAAGCAAAGCTGGAGGAAGGGCTAGACTTCCTGGGGACAGTGAAGAGAGCAGCTGGTCTGGTGGAGAGTAGCTGGAGTACGCCTCCTCACAGCCTCCAGAGGGGCTGCAAGCTGAATGGCTCTCGTCCACCAGACAGGACTAGAGTCCCAGCCTCTGGCACATTAGGACCCCTCAGTATGCATTCCTGCCGGGCTGCCTCTTGTAGGGAAAGAAAGATTGTATGGGATTGTTTCTGCTGAGCTACAAAGACCCTGGGGGTCACCAACATGTCATGTGTTCACAGATGTCCCCCATGAGCCTACACTGCCCTCACTAGCACTGCTCTAACTAGGAGACCCCAGGCCTCTATCAGCAGTGCCAAATTCTCACTCATAAAGAAGTTAGCCAGGCACCCAGCCTCAGGGGACTGCCTCTGCCAGCCAGGACTGGGGGACCAGTCGTGCTAACCTCCTGCTCGAGCCGGGATCCAGGGGCTTCCAGCCGCAGTTCTCGATGTTCGGGTGGTGCCTTACGGTAGGGTTTCTTAACTGGGGCTACACTGGTCATTCTGGGAGGTAAGGGCTCCTTGACCTGCTGAGGGGAAGCAAGGAAGGAAGAGGCTCAGAGATGTGGTCAAGAGGCATTTAAATTGAGAAAATAAGACAGACAAAAGGGAACATATACAGGAGCTACCACAGAGGCAAACAGGCCTGGGCCACTACTGGAACCATTAAAGGGCTGGACTTTGCTCTGTCCATTTCCCAGGGGTCTGGAGACTGCTGAAGGGTAGGACATGAGTCTAACAGGAAACAGACAAAAGCAGAAGCTGGCTTTGAGGCCCGGGGCAGGGTCCAGGGCTTGAGCACCAAAAAGAGCAGGTCATGCCCTAAAAGCTAGGGCAGGGAGTCTAAAGTGCAGCCCACCACTCTCTTTTGAAGACCTCAGAGGGAAAAATGTGTCTTCTATGCCTCAGTTTCCTCAGTTCTAAACTGGAGATATGAACAGGACCAATTGCACAGGGTTGTCGCAAAGATTAAATGAGTTAAGTAAAGGATAGTGCCTGTTATTAATGTTAATAAACATTAGCTTAAAAGAGTTTGAGGATGTTCACTCAACACAGGCTCCTCAGTGGGGATGCCAAAGTTTAGGAGCACTCTCTGGTCAGGCCATTGTAGGCTAAGCCCCTCTGGCTTCTACCACACTCCTTTCACCAGTGCCCCCCAAGAGGGGCCACCTTTCTGCCCCTTCACTTGCCAGCTTCCCCAGAGCAGAGCTAAGAGAGGGGCACAGGCCTCACCAGGGACATACCGTCTGTTTGTCAGCAGCTCCCTCTGTTCCGCTGTCCAAGACTTAGCCCTCGGCTCTCCACATCCCACTGCCCCTCCACTTCCTCTGGCCAACAGCTCCTGAAACCAGAGAAGGGAAGAAAGTGGAAACCAGGTGTCAGCCGCCTGTCTGTCAGTGCCACAAGCCTGCCTGCCCAGTCCAGGATCTGGAAGGCCCCTAGGGAGATCCAGGCAGGAAAGCCATAAAGCAGGAGGTGTGAGGGGGAAAAGGATAGAGGCGGGGGAAGGACTGCAAACACTAGGGTCTTGCCTTTCTCCAAGAAGGCACTGTCCCAGGCCCAGATGACAGACACATGTATGTCTGTGTATGTGTATGTATGGTCTCAGCTTATCACAAGCCCAACTCTGGAAAAGGTCCAGTCCTGTCTTGTCCGTATCCCTACCCTACATCTGCCTGTTCATATCAAAGGCCCCTCAGGGTCTGAAAATAACTAAGTGATTTAGGGAATATGAGTTGCAGAAGAGAACATCAGGGAAAGGCCTAGTAGAGACCCAAGAAGATAAGCAGAGAAGATACTGGAGGAAAGGCTCCTCTGCCCTAGCAATGTTTCTACAAGAGGCCTAAACACACCTTCTGTGTACAATGATGATCAAAACATTTTGCCATGAGGTCTTAGGGACTTAACTGTGTCCCCCAAAATTATGTGCTGTAAATCCCAACCTCTATGCCTGTGGTTCTAATTCCATTCAGGAATGGGTTGTCTTTGTTATGTTAATGAGGCAGAATTAGTGAAGACTGTTTGGAGTGACTCTTCTTTGACACATAACAAGAGATTAAACTAGCAAGCCAGAAGCAGAGACAGGGGAGGAGAGATGCCACACCACATGCAGATCACCAAGGAACAAGGACTTTCCTCCAAAGCTGACAGAGAGAGCCTTTCCCCTAGACTCAGTGCACTGAATCCAGACTTTTAGCCTCCTAAACTGTGAGGAAATAAATCTGTTTATTAAAGCCATTCACTTGTGGTATTTCTGTTATAGCAGCACCAGAGAACTAAGACAGGAGGTTACATCCAGAAGAAGAAATGTGAAAAGACAGCAGTTTAGAATGGTGTTTCTCAACCAAGACAATTTTGCCCACCAGGAGGCATTTGGCAGAGACATTTTTGATTGTGTTGGGGAGGGTGGCCAGCAGTAGCAGCATATTACTGGCATCTAATGGATAGAGGACAGGGATGTTGCTAAATATCCTACAATGCACAGGATAGCCCCTCACAACAAAGAATTATCAGTGCAAAATGTCAATAGTGCTAAGGCTGAAAAACTGGTGTACAGAAAACCAAAGTCTGGCAAGTCAAGACACCTGGGTTATAGGCTGAGTGCCACTTCTGCTACATACTGTGTGGCCCTGGCTAAGTCCTTTCTCAGTGGATAAGCCTGTTCCTCATCTACACAGAGGTGGCTGGACAGAATGACCTGTGATGTCCCCTTCAAGCCCGCACCCCTCCCTGGCCACCTGTAATAAGCTGGGCTGCAGCATGGGGGCAGCAACTACCACAGGGACCAGTGGTGGCAGTAACCTTAGGTGGCCTCCTAGGTATAAAAAACAATCTGTTCTCCACCCCAATCCACCTAAACAGAGCTGGGGGCTAAGAGAACCCTTTTGGGCTGAAGCATGCATTCCTGCTGTCGGGACATGCCCTGGCCATGACTCCTGTCACATTCCAACAGGGCCTGGGGCAGGAAGCATGGTGAGGGGGTAGAGAAGGTGGAGATACAGGAGTGGCCTCCCGCCTCTATCTGGGTAGCCAGGTTCCTGGCATGGGGTTCTGGGGGAGCTGGGGAGAGGCAGCACAGGCACGAGCCGCCAACCTCCGCCCCTTTGATGGTGAGGCAGAACGTGTCCCCACAGGGCACAAGCAGCATGCCGTGTTGGGATGACTTCCTGCACAGGAATCTGGGCGGGCCTGAAAGGACAGCACATTCCTGGGGTATGGGGGAGCAAACAAGTCACCCCCCACAAATTCCCTGGCTGTCCCTCCAAAGGCCCTAGGGTAGGGGCACCTATGGCTGGAGTAGAGGCCTGTGAAGTCCCAAACCAGCCTGGCTGTCTGGGTTCTGATATTCAGACACAGGGACCGTATGTGAGCTGGAAAAGGGCTAAGAGATACAGGTAGTCAAGAGCTTTGACAAAATCAAGGGGAGGCTCCCAATAGCTGCTCTCTGCTTTCTCCTGTCCCCTAAGGAGAGATCAGTGCCTGTTCCTTCTCCCTGAGCTCCCCAGTCTGCTGAGTAACCCTTTTTTCTCTACAGGTCCTTCTGTGGATCCCTCCCAAAGCCCACACTGTCCTTGAGGCACCGGGACTCTTGTACAAGTTGAGAGCAGATAGGTAGGGAAAACAGAGTCAAAACCAAAAACCCAAATTCATTGCCATTGAGTCAATCCCGACTCATAGCAACCCCTCCTTGCGTTTCTGAGGCAGTATCTCTACGGAAGTAGATTGCCCAATCTTCCTTTCGAGGAGTGGCTGGTAGGTTTGAACTGCCAGCCTTCTGGTTAGCAGTCAAATGCTTTAGGCATTAGGCCATCAGAGCTCCCAAAACATGCTCAGGCCTCTGTAATTCTACCTGTAAGAAGAGCTGCTTCATTCTATGTCCCACAGACTGCCCTTTAGTGGCCACACATATTACAGCTCATCCTGCCTTGCCTACTAAAAATGTCCTTGACCCTATGTCACCACTCTCTACCCTACAGCAAATATTCCCAGAGCTTCCATGGTCACAGAGCATCTGAACTTGCTGAAGGAGAAAGCATTAACACTCTGGGAGTGGGGGTTATTCTCTCCTAACTAGAGCCTACTCTTTTCAAACATTTCAGAATCACAGGGAGGGGGACCACTCTCACCTGAAGAACAGAAGGCAGGACCCACTAGGAAACCAAGTCTCCCAGGAAGCCTTCAGTGTCCCCAAGACAAGTCCACAAGGGAGCGTGTGCTACTCCCTGCCCCATATCTATATCCATAAATACATCAGACACAAAGACCCTAGCCTTAACTCCTGAAATCTGCTAAATGCCTCAGATCCACGAGGGGCTCACAATTCTAGGCCTGATCAGGAAGCGACCAAACGGACCTGGCAGCCCACTGTCCTTGACTCAAAGTGCTGCAGGGAGGGGAAGCACAGATGTAGGGAGGAGAGTGATGGAGGTGCGGTAGAGAATAGATCAAGCAGCAGCTGGACACTCAGTCCCACCTGCCGCGTGGGGATCAAAGGGTGAGTGGAAGGCAGTGAACAGGCCCTCCAAGAAGGCCCCACTACCAGGAGCTGCCCTCTGGCCCCACTTCCTCTACCTAAAGGTTTCCCAGGCTGCCTTGGAGAGTTTTAGACCAAGGAGGACTCCCAGCCCCATGTTTTGCAGAAGAGACCCCCAGGGAAAGAGGCTGGAAAGCTTAGAATGGGCCATGGGGCATGATGAGCAAGCAGCAGTCAGGGACAGTCTCAGAAGCCTCTGAATGCTGAGCTGGCTCCAGGACATCTCCAAGAAGATGGTCTTCTGGTGGAAGGTCTGGAAATCAACAGGTAAGAATTCACTTCCATCCCATCCCAAACTACCTGAGCCTCAACTCAAGATGCTGGCTACAAGAGCTGTGCCCAGGAGAAAGGTTGAGGTCTAGGGTTAAACCTCTGGCTGACTCAGACTGGCCCAGGGCTCTTCTGGCTATCCTGTAGGCACTGAGGAGGGAGCTACTGGAAGAGTGGTCATCATGAAGGTGGGGTGAGAAGGGAAAACAACTCTCCTCACCCCTCCCTGCCATCCTCTTCCTATTCTGCATAGCAGTCATTCTTTCTTTCTCAAAATCAGTTCAGAGGAGAGCCTCTACCTCGTATCTGCTGGGGTGGAGAGGGGGGTGAGAGCTTCCTAATTGCCGTGTTGCAATCTGTTAGTCGGTACAGGCCGCCTGTTGCCGCCTGCCCTTTATTAAATACCTTCTCCCTGATTACAGCCCCATGGGGCACGATTAGCTGCCTCCAGAGAAAGAACAAAGTCTACTTTCATTAGAAATGGGACTAGGCACGCACAGCAAACCTGCACTGTGGACCCACTGAACAGCTGAACAGAGTGTAGACAGAGACAGATGTAAGGAACAATGTGCACCAGAAACCAGCTGAGCAGGATCCTTTAATCCCAGGACAATCTGCCAAGCATTGCTCTTTAACCAGGAGGTAGGACTCACACCCACTGCCTTCTGTGGGTATGGTTTGTGGGTTTGTGTCTGCGAC